TCAAATTAAGTGTTTATACGCTAAAATAAATGTATGGAAATGTGTGATATCCATGAGGGATGGATAATGCAGCGGTAGACCTCATGATATAGGCGACATATGGCGGTAGACCTCACGCTATAGTAGCACCCCCAGATTTGTCCAATGAAACTTATTTTTCTTAAAACTAACAGCCAAAATTGTTATAAGTGTGTTAAAGGTGAGAAAAATGTTAATATGGGAATTGGGCCCATTGAGGATGCTGATAGCATGAGATGGCTGACTTTTTTAAATGTTCTCATCTATTTTTAAACGAGAAGATGTTAGCATTATTTCTGACCCATAAAATGTTTTAGGAAATATTGGAATTGACCTGCATCATGTAAATTTTAATCCCTTGAAGGTAAATAAAATGATTGAGATTAAAAATAAAGTGTCAGAGGAGGTTTTTTTTCCCAGATGGTACGTGAGCCTCTATTTCTTTCATTGGTCTGGAAATTGTAGGCTACTAGTCTTATTTCTGTTGCGTATAAGATACTAGAGCCTGAAAAAAGAATCTTTACAAAATCATTTAATGAAATATGATATCGTAAAAGGAAGCCAACATAGAATCACCAAAGAAAAAGTTTGCCTTACGAATTTGTTAATTGTTTTTAGGATATTACTCATTTTCTGAATGATGGAAAGGGTGTGAATTAAATTTACTTACATTTCAAAAAGAGTAGCAAAGAAAATCAAATCAGTAGTGGTTGGGGAAGGACTAATTAATTTGACTGCAGAAGGATTGGATGAGAGAAGCAGAAATTTGTTATTAATTGGAGCCCAGTCAAACTGGACCTTTATTATTAATGGGAGCCCAGTCAAACTGGACCCTTGTTATTAATGGGAGCCCAGTCAAATTGGACCCTTGTTATTAATGGGAGCCCAGTCAAGCTGGACCCTTGTTATTAATGGGAGCCCAGTCAAACTGGACCCTTGTTATTAATAGAGTGCTCAGGGGTCAGTGATTGATCTTTTGCTTTTCTTATTTACATTAATAATATTGATATGGGAGTAATTAGTAAATTACTAAGGTTTGCTGATGATTCTTGGGTATTTCTAAGCAGACAAATCAGAGGTCTTTATCTTACCATTTCCCTCAAGTGAGGCCTAAATTGGGATTCGTAAAGAGACAATAACTACTTTTTAACTTTATAATTCTATTAGCTTCACTATTAGCAAAATAGCATTGTCTCGATGACTTGAACAACTTCACCACCATTATGCTAAGATCATTTCTTCAGTCATGCTAATAAATGACTTTTTATCTATATTAAACATGTGGTCCAAATTATAATCCAAATGCATTACCATTAATTTACTATAATTAAAGTTCATTTGCCAAATATTTGTCTAACTTAACAGTTGACCCAAGGTATTCTGTAGTACCTCAGCAGCGCTAGATTCTGAAAAGACAGGTTAGGCCCCAGTTAAGACAGTTGGAATGAGTTGTCATCAAAGTAGGTGGAGGTCAGCACTTTACAAGTTTAAAAAGGAATCGGTGTTTTCTGGAAAAGTGAAGGGTGTGTTCAAAGTTTCACTTTTCTCAGGGGGTGCGTGGGTTAGGGAAGAAAAGGGTTGTCTTTATACATTAAGTTAATTTATTTTTTCAGTAAAAATGAAATGTTGTTTACATGAAGGGTTATGACATAACATTGATTTATTCTGTAGTCTAGACTGAGTTGATTTAATAATTAAAGGGTTAGAAAGAGCTCTTACCATAGTCATTGGACGTTACCAACAAAAAGTTTAAATGTCCTCATAGTTGATAGGGTTAGTATGTGAAATGTACGTTCTGAAATTTCATAGTTATGTTGGTATGTTCATAATAAGTTATACATTTTCTAAATTATGAGCTTTGTTTAAAAAAAAAAAACTGGTTTAAAATATTTTGGCTATTGAAAAACCTTTTAATATTTCTTAAATTTTACTATTTCTTTATTGAAATTCTTAGTAGTTTTATGCAATAGGAAATATAATAATGGTATAATAAGTGATTTTTTAACAAATTCATATTGTCATCTAAATTCTAGCCATGAGGTAGTTATTAGATGTTTTGTCGTTGCCTAAAAGCTGATTTTAATGTTTTTATAAATACAATGATAATTCAGAAATGTTTCCAAACAGTTTTCCTCCTACAAACATTAAAATCATACCACTGAAGTAAAGGCTTATGATTTGTCAACTAACTGGTTAACTTGTGTGTAGTTGTACAACTGTTTCTCCACTTATTAAAGCCTTGTGAATTGACGGAACAATTAAAAACTTTCTTCAATGCCCCCACTCTCCAATACTCGATGCTTACCAATGTAATGGTTAGTGACTCCAAAGAAATGAGAAAACTGCAAGGGGAATGTTTTGAAGGTTTATTCATAATGCCTTAAATAAACAATAGTGTTTTGCAGCCCGTTAATTATCCTTGTATCCGATTCACTCTAACCTTGTATTCTCATAACATTAACATATTTTATAAGCACAAATACATTATTATTATTTACCAATACAAACTGAAATTATATTGTTGTAGAAATTTTCAAATTGTTTTGGTTCAGCCATTGCTGTAATGAAATCACAGATGCTAGTTTTAAAACTTCACTTTCAGGACCTAAACATAAAAGTTTCTTACAGAGAGATCATACAATTTATCTATGAGCTAACAGGTTTTTGAACACTTTCTACAAATTATGTTCTAGTAACTGCATAATTGTAATGCTGATATATTCAACTTTAAAATATGATTATACCTTCAAAACCAATCGTGATACATAGCAAGTGAAGTAGACTGATTTACCAAAATGAGGGTAATAAAGGCTTAGCAAAGAATCTTTAATACTCGTTTTTTTTGTAATACAGCTTACAAAAAAATCACTTGTAAACCTAGATAGTGGTTTAGGTTGACACATTACACAGAGAGCACTGATATATATATATATTAACTTCAACAGGCTGAGTGGTTATTTACTACATTACTTGTTCTATTTTTACATTAATTTGAAGACTGTATCAATAAAGTTACTGACTGGTAGAAAGAACCATAGCCAGTTATGTAGCTTTGCACTTAACAAAAACCAAACAGTCATAAAGAATTTTTTATTTTATTAACGAAGAACTCTGAATGGTTTAAAGCTCCAAATTTCTGACCCATTAGACTACAAGTACAGATTTATGTAGGTGCTAGTGTGTTTCGATATTACAATATTATTTTCTTTTAATCATACATATAGTGATAGTGTAGAAGTAATGAAATATGTATTAACAAAATTGTGATAAGATTCTAAAACAAAAACAAAATTTCTTCCGTTTTCCTTTAGATGGAAGAGTGGCAAACTACATGTATATCCAAATGGTATATGAGGCTAGTGATCTGAACCATCTTACCTTTACATGATTGAATAGTTATATCTGATTGTTTTTACCATTGTTTTACATTCTTTGATATATGTATATTATTATAAAACAATAAGCATTTTAAGTTCATTAATTTGTCATACAGAGCTTTAGAACTACACAACATTTGCAGTATCAAAAAAAAAAAACTGCAAGTTTTCATTAGAGATATTAGAATCTAGTCAGTCAGAAGGACAAGTTTTTTATGCAAGCTACTAATATAGATTTTGATTGATATATAGAAGCTGATCATTGCATTTTAAGTTTCCATATACACATACAGGGGTAAGGTATTTAAACATACTTGTGAGTTTCAGATGAGATATGCATTGACTATTCATCAACTTGTATAAAAACCATTGTATAAATTTGTATGTTGTTCTAGATTGGCAAGTTTTCAAGAATGTGTTAGCTGTTATTTAAATAAACAAGTTTTTTTTTCAAGAGAATATTATGAATGTCAACCTTTCAGAACTTAAAAGCATTTTCAAGTGAATGAGTCATGGAAATGCTACATGACATCAACAAATAAGCAGCCCACTTTGCAACTGCTATATCAGTGCATCATTTTCAGAATTCTTTAATAATCATGATTACAGACACTAATCGTGCAGTTTGTTTTACACCTGTGGTTTATTCTTATGCTTTAAGTCACCTAAATTTTGATCATGTGTGATTTCTTGTAGCAATTCATGAAAAAAAAGATGAGTAATCCTGATGAGTTAATTTGTGAGTATTTCATTTTTTGATAATTGTAAAGTCATCTTATAATCTTCAGTTGTTTTTCTGTAAATTTTGTAGGTTTTTCAGTACTTTAAAGTCAAAATCAGTATGAACTGCATAATACAAAATGTAATCAAAAGCTAGTAATGCAAGATATCAGGAAAACTGAATTATTGTATCCTTCAAGGTTCTTGTTAAAAAAGACGTGTAAACAATGTGAATAGTTATGGGAATTGTCTATCTAAAATGATACATTTATACATTTTACTGTAATTCTTCATGGATGTTTTTGTTGTTAGCAAAATACAATAAATTTCACCTTTGACTCTTCCACTTTTGATTGGTCTGAAATCTTTTTTCTTTTTCTTTTTTATTGAAGATTGGTGTACCAAACCATTTACAAAAGCAGGTTTTGGTAGCATGAACAAAATTTAAACAATCCTACATCATGTATGTATAGTATTAGGTACATAATATTATAATCACATTAATCTTTATTAATTGTAAATTAAAAATAAAATTAATGAGGCAAGTTACTAATTTGTGAATTTGAATTTTTAGGTTTATTATTTATTAGTTAAGACTTAAGATTTTTTAAAATTAATTTTTATTTAATCAGTTTCTATATACAATCTGAAAGGTTTTGGATTAGAAATACAATTTTTCATGTGTTATTTATTTTTAATCGTATAAAGCAAAAAATTCTTTATGTTGTGAGTGTAACAAAATAAACTATATATGACTTACTATTAGTTTATATTGTTCGATATAATATCTTATTACTGAATATCTCCTACAACTGTTACTTTCCTGTAGCTATTGTTTGCCACAAACACAGGTTGTTTAATTGTTGTTTTAGAATATTAACGTAGGTAAATTAACATGCAGAATTATACACGGGTTGCTTAGTTAAGGAACAATACCCAAAAGTTTCAGTCATACGATACAATAATCATCCACAAGTTTCAACTTTGGGAGCTAGAAATACTGTATTAATTAAGGTATTTGATTAGGATTTAGCGACCTCAATACGGTGGTTGTAGGCCGTGTAATGAAGGCAAGAAAAATATTAACTTACTGTTTTTTAACTGTTCTTTTATGGAGAGTGGATACGCGATTACTGCATACCCACGCCGTTTTTTATTGGGATTTATTTTGAAGTTTAAATTTATAAAAGAGAAATATGAACATAGACTGTTATAATATTTACTAGAGTATTTTATTTAAGTCAGTTAAGGAATAATGTAGCGTAAAGCGTTGTTACGTCTCTGTCGTAACTGTGTGTATTATAACTGGTTTTAGCGTGCATTTATATAGATAGCATCGTTAGTAATTAAAAATCATTAACCCTAATGACCCGTAAGTAGTTAAAATTTTTTACTAGAGTAAAACATTTAATCTGATATTGTTTATATATATTCGCAATATCACAAAAAAAAATACTTGGAGTGCAAATATCATTTAAGATTTTTAAAGTAATTAAATGTTTATTTTTGTGAATAGTTATTTAACTATTTCTAGTTTTGACCCCGATTCTAATTTGAAGTTGTGTATATACGTTGATATTTATTATAATTAAATTTATTTATAATGTTTATTGTTTGAGTAGTTTCGCGTGCCAGTTAATTTCCTTACTTCTCACTGAATTTGTACTGTCAGCCTGCAGACGAGATAGGTAGAAGTGCAAATTTGAAAGAAAGTCGGGTGTTCTCGGAAAGAGATCGATGAAATCCAAAACGCAGAGGAAGGCCCAGCCAATTAAGTTTGGATTTAAATAAACGGCAACGCTTGAAACGCTCAGTTGTGATGTGATACAGTATTTAGTTTGTCAAAGTAATTTCGCTTTATTTCCTTTATATATTTTTTTCGTATTACTGATTATCATCGCAATTTAAATTTTGGTTCGTTTGCATTTTTCAAAACTAGTACTTTTTGAGAATCATAACTATGTGTATAGTTGTGTAGCTTGAGATATATATTCTGTTTTTTAGTGTATTATAATTAGATGCGATTTTATTTTCAAGTTAAACTAGTCCACAGTAAAGATACTAAAACGCAGTATGTTACACAAACAAACAAAAAAAAGAATTACGAATTTAAAAGATTATTGTAATGAGGCAGTCAGAAATATAAAACATTCTTCAATAAAAAAAATATTTTGTTGGAATGACATTTTTTTCATTCATAAGTAAATAATATTTAATTTGTATCTTATAGACTTATCCTTTTTTAAATGGTACGTATTTTAATTCAGGGTATAAATTATGGTAATTTTGACTGTGAAGCGAATAAACATTATATCGATCAATGCAGCTAGTTTGTAATAACTGTATTTCAATTAACATCATCGCCTGTATTCATTGTTCTGATAATATTTTTACCCAGTCTGCTTATGGCGTTTTTGTTCTTTGAATCTGCTTTTATCTCTATACTCAAGCCGAGTGACACATCATTGTTTGGTCTCGAGATGTTTGTCCAGCCCTGTCACTAGACCCTATGTCGAACATACTGGTTGAATGTACCCAAGTTAACAGATCATAATTATGATGGCGATAAATGGAGAAACTGTTGTTTCAGATATTTGTGCTGAATTTCTTTTCACACAGCTTAGCAAAATCGTTGAAAATGAAATTACCTAAGAAGTAACGCATCTATATCAGTATTACAATACTGTTTATTGTATGTCCATGTAACTACTTCGCAAGGTGTAGATTGATCTTCACCAAAATTGGTGTGGAGGTTCATTAGGCCCATGCGGGGGGTACATACAGATTTTCAGTTTTGCGGTTTTTATGGTTGTTTTTGTGGTTTTGTCAGTACCTCACCTCCTGTGGATGGATCTTCACCAAATTTGGCATGAAGGTTTGTTGGATCCATGGGGAGGGGGATACATACGTTTTACATTTTGTATTTTGCAGTTTTTATGGGCGTTTTTTTTACAATTAAATATAAGGAAAGCATTGTTATCGGATATTACAGAATTCTTAACTTTTGTTTCACATAATTTATAACCATTACTTTGCTTTGTACTAGTCTATCAGATGTGGATATGCGGTTCAAAATAAGTATTGTTGTATAAAAATAAAGATGTGGTAAGATAAATAGAATTAAGTGACTTATTAGATACTTTGAAAGTTATACAGAATTAACACAAACTAATAATATGAGTTATTCCACATGTAGTAACTGTAATTGGCGATAACATTGTTAAGCATTTGTGGTAAAAATCACGTTAACTACAGTGTTTTTATGCATCTTCCTCTTAGTATATCCATTGTAGATTCATAAGCAGAAAAGTGCAAAAATATTTACACTGAACAATTCAGTTAAGGACCGAAAGACTTCTTTGATAGTGATTTGTGGAAGAAAGAAAAGATCTGAAATGCTATTTTTACGCGCCTCTGATTTGACATTCGTAGTGGACCAATTGAGAGGGATGTGGAAGATAAAATTATGTAATTAACGTAATATTTATAACAAATTTTAGGCCTATTGGTTTATAACACATTGCCAGCTTTGGGCGATTAAAGTGTAACTGTATTGGGCAATACAGATGTTTCCTGGACTACTATGACCGTATCTTCTAAACGCAATAAAATTGATTTTGAAATGTACTCAGTCAGTATCCTTTCAAATTATAATAAATATATATTTTTTAAATCTTCCAGCTTAATTAATCAAATCAAAAAAGTGTTTATTACGGATGACGTTATTAGAACAAAGGCAGTCGGAACTGTATAATAGCGTATAATTGTATATATAAGGTTAAATATATTCATTTTGTATTTTATTTAAACTACGTGTAAATCTTCTGTTCAATCGACGTGTTGTCTTATAAAGCGTTAACACTAGAATTATAATATTCTGTGTACGACTGTTAGTAGAACAATAGTCCACTAGTCGAAAGAATCCCATACAAATTATTTCAAAATTTTATTACAAGATAGTACCAGCCGAAAAATTGTAAGAAGAAATTACAAAATTTAAAGCCACTGTTCATGTTCGGTCTTAACAAGCCAAACATCCCGCATTATTTTTTGACGCTTCGCCAATATATATTTATAAAAATCATTTGTTTGTGCGTTTCAGAAATATTGCATTTTTACCCTAAAAGAACAGAAATCGGTACAAATCTTTTAGTGACTGTATGATGCAAGTTCCTTATGTATCGTATACAAAGCCGGAATTTTAGTGTTACTCATATTGCTTTTGAACTTGGCCTTAATGTATATGGCGAATAATCAGAGTAAATGTATATAATTAAATAATACGCTTTCATTTGACTGTCCCGAACTTTTTCACAAATTTCTCGATCAAACACTACAAATCTCACATTGTTAGGTCTTTGTCCGAGGAGTGCGGATTGCATATTGGCTTTTCAATTCACAATCACTTTACTCGCGTAGTCAAACGTTTAAATGCAACGAGTGTATGGTACTCGATGGCACAATGTCGTTGTCATCACGTGACGACTGGCTTCCATTTCAGTTTTAGTTTTTAATTGCAAAGTATTTCACACAACACTTAACCCGCGTGTAATTTCTTAAAAAAATTAACATTACAATAAATGTAATTTCTATTTAGGTCTATAATACGTATGTGCAGTTCGTTCAAAGCCATCTGCTTATCATTTTGTGAACACGAATTCAGACGTTTCTGCATATCAGCTACGTTTGCCTTAATTACAACTACATTTACTTTACTTTCCAATTATTTAGTTTCAGTTCGTTTCATAAACTGCCATTACACACCTTTTAGATAATTTTTTTTGTTTACTACGTGTTTTTATTCTTCGTTTTTGTGAGTTGCTTTGTTTCAACTTCTAGAACTGTGTAATAAACTGAACGCTCATAATTGTGTCATATTATGTATATTATTATACATACCTTTACTTTATTGTTTACTTTACGTGTTGTTTTATTACATACGTGTAGTTTTATTGAATAAAGTTACATCTACGTAAATTTGTTTGTCTGACTACGTAAAAGTTTTTCAAATAGACCAGGATTTATCGATCTAACACGTATAATGCCTGCAAGAAATGGCGTGCGTGTAAAAATGATGAAATATTGAAACGAAGGGCGTGTAGACTACAGCAAATGTTTTTCGGGTCGCGGCTAGTACACTAAATAATGAAACTGTTGTGTTTCGGTGGGTTATGGAACTTTCATTCAGTTTGAAAACTTGCATTTGAGCCAATAAAATATTTATATGTAATACTTTTTCTCATTTTATTAGTACATTTCCGTAACGCTACGTTTATTCGTGTTATGTAGATATAGCCGTCACGTCAAAAACCCGTTTATTATTATTTTATTTTTAATTTGGCGGTTAACACTCATTCGATCTTGTACATTGTTCTTGTTACGAGAATATTTGTATAGTGCGGTAAAGTTAACTTTTCTTCTTAGAGTTATGTTTAAAGTACACAACTTTTAAATATTAATTTATTTTTTAAAAATTTATAGTTACAGTGAGACGACTAATAGAATTGTATTGTTAGCTTTACACGAACGTGTTTTTGTGTTGCCATTGGCAACTCTTCACGTGATTATAATGCTGGCGCCAAAGAGTTGTTTCTCTTGACCTCAAGTACTGAACAAACGATACTTGAGAACACTGAGGAATAAATGCCACTTAAAAATTATGTTTAGTTATTAACACATTCGCAAGATTCTTTAACTAATTCATTATGAATATCATCCATAGACTGCTATGAAAATGAAAAATATTGCTCTAAACTAAAGCATTTCTAATTTTTGCCAAATAGAAATGCTTTCCACTAATATGAAAACACTTTGTATTTGAATTAAAATGTACATAATAATGCTAATTAAGATAAGTGTTATGACCGATGTGAAATAGTACTGCATCAGTATAATTGATAACAGAAAAAAAAAATATGCACTATTATTTAAGAATTATAAGTGTATGTTGGTACAAAAACTAAAAAGAGAAAGTGATATGAGGAATTTTTGTTTAGTTTGGTTTATATTTAAAATATATAACTTCTGTATATGTTTATCTTATTGTATAGTTATAGTGAAGGACTATATTAGCGATAGCTTTGGTGAAAGGAATTTTGAAATGAAATGTTGGCTTAAAACCATGGTAGAATGCTACGGAAGCTAGGAATTCTTTATCAAGCCATATTTCCAGTACTTAGCTATGTAAGGACACTAATCCCTCAAAATGTGTAAAATGGCAAGGTTTCATTTATAGGAATATTCTATAATACATCAAATGAACAAAACTTTTTTTAAGTGTTGTACCCATGGTACATAAACATAAAGAGACCTTACCAACATGGGGTTGATATGGAGTTATCCAGAAAAAAGAAGTAACTGTTTTTAAGATGTATGTATTTTACTTTGTTATACAGAAGTTTCTTAGCAGTGTATTCAGGCCCACCAATAGGGGTGAGTGAGTGGGGGCAACTGCCCAGGGGCCCGGGCGATTGAAACCTAGTTATGCTGTAAAGCCCGCAAAGCATCTTTAGGCTATATCTTCATTTAATGATAAAACCATAGTTTTTTGGCTTTTATTTGCATATAGATGCTTGATACATTAAGAACGACTGAAATGATAATTTGAGTAATAATTAATATGTATCTGTTACTTTATAGATTTAATAGATATTTGTTGTTACTTTATTAACGTTTTTACGCTTATACGGTGAGATAAAAATGGCTGCTGATATTATTTTGTCTGGTTTATGAACATGTTGCTGTCATAATTTAGGATCTTCTTTTTAATAAATTCTTGAAAATGTTAAAAGAGAGAGAGAGAGAAAGGGGACTGGCGAGGATGTTTGCCCCAGGGCCTGTGCTGGCTCTCGATGTTCCTGAGTGTATTTAATCTGCCAAATTAATTTTTTTCCTAACTTTGGATTTATAGAGGCTCTCAAAAATCTCCAAGTCTCGAGCATGTTTGGTATTCATGTTGAACTGTGCTTATTCAAGAACTGTTCACAAAGTGTAGTTAAGAAGAGTTTGCTGAAAATAATTTATCTTGTATCCTAACTTATTCACTGTGGTATTTAAACAGTTGAGGTTTTGTGAAAGTGCTAATTTTTCTTCATTTAGTTCATATTATTTGTTAGAAAGATGCTCAAATTTTAAAAACTTGGTAGAAGGTTTGTGTCAACTAGTAGCTTTAAAGATTAGATTTTTCTGCTTTTAGTTTAAAGTTTGCTGAAGAAGATTTTCATATTGTAACAATACGTGTACTTAGGTGTTTAAGAAATAAAAAGAGAATTGATAGTTAACATTGTAATTTTCCATATATATGTATATACATTTAAACTTTACAATTAAGCAAACTGGAAAAACATCTGTAGTTTTGTAGAGTGGTTAGATTATGAAAGTTCATGGTAAACCAGCATTATTATAGCACACTGGATATAGAGCACACGGTTTGTAAAAGATAAGTTTAATTTGTTCACCCTGTACTGTGTAAATGAGTGTTCTGAAAAGTGTTCACTGATTATCAGGGATAGAAATAATACAGTAAAATTACATTCACTCGAGGGAAAGCTATTGGGAAGATTACCTTCCCTCATGTAAATTTGCATTTCTTCATGAATTTTTTTTTTATTTAATCCATGCAATATATTCACGTTCATTGGTCGTAACTAAAGGAATACGGATGGACTGTGCATTCCCGATGGGGAAAGCCAACTGAAAAGATAAAATTCCTCAAGCAAAGTTAAATTCCTCAGGAATGCAGGAATGTAATATTTCGATCCCTGATTATATTTGTAGTGCCTTTATATAAATACTTTTTTAATATAATTAACATACTATTTAGTTACAGTTAGAGGCTGTATTGACAATATAATTTACTTGTCTTCTTTTTAGTGCAGTATTCTGAACACTTATCATAAGTTTTCAGTCTGAAGAATTTAACTGTCTTTACAAGCAAACTGTGATTGATCACATTTTACAGACATACTGTTAATAGCCTCTGCTTAGCTGGTATCAACGTTTGTGTGAAGAATGACTTTTTAAATTTCCATATAAATATGTGATTAGATGACAGTTGTCATAAATTCCTAGAAAATAGCTAAATTTTGAGGAATGAGTAAAACTACATGAGAATGCCAAGCTGTAAAACTCTAAATTTGATTTTATTACTACTGGTATTTTATATTTTGTTCTGTTTTTTTTTTTTGCAAATGCACTTTTGGCTTAATAGTAATTTATAACAGTTTAAAAACAGTAAACTAGCCTAGGGCACTGATATGTTTGATTTTTGAAATAATCTTTTTAATGAAATGAGTGTATTAAGTAACTGTGTCAACTTATTCAAATGAAAATTAATGGGTTTTCAAACATAGTTCCAGCAGGATATGTTTGTGTTAAACTACTGTGAATCATAACCATAATACAATTTCTAATAGCATGTTTTCAGTTTTTGACCAACTTTGCATTATCTCTTAGCAGCTTTTATTGCACATATATTTTATAGTTACATCAGGTGTAAAAGACTTAATGATATGTTTTGTCTTGTGTCTAATTTTTATACATAAATTGGGAGTTTTATTTTTATATAAAAAAAGAAAGACACCTTGTACTGGTTCTAAGATTTATCTGTAGGAATTTGGATTATAACTTAAAAAAGCGCTTGATTCCAGAAAGTTGTTTAAAAAGTAAGTAGACCACAGATATCATAATTTATCTAAATGTTGTCTGATATTTCTTTTCATAAGTTTTCTGAACAATCTTATTGTAAGATTCCAGTCTGAAAAGTTTTAACTATTGGCCAGTGCAAATGAGATGTTTGCTGAAAATCACTTGAAATATACTCTTCATTGAATCTGACAATAATAATATTTAATATTTGGTTAAATATTTTGTTTTTCTTATTCAAATTTTGTATAGGATGTGTAATTTATTTTTATTTTGACTCTTTTGAACCATTTATAATATTTTAGAACACTGAGCAAAAGTAGATTTATTATATTGGTTAATTAGTGATCCATTTATGAACCAACTAATACGTAATTATGCAACAGTTTCAGACATGTTTTTTTTTAATATTTGTGTATGTAACATGATATAGATATATGTTTTACTAACTTCATTAACCTTTAATTAGAAGCTAATTAAAATATCAAATATTATGATGCACTTGACAAATGAATGGCTCAAAATATTAGAATTTTGCCATTTTATTTCACTCTCCACTTATGTTTATCTCAATTTTTGTTATAAATCTGTGTCATCTATAGCGTATCACACAAATATTGTATTCTTTATTATTAAGTAGTACATTTACTGATTAAATTTAATCATTTTGTTATGCATTGAGCTGGTACTAGTTGTAGATTAGCTCTGTTTACTTAATTAAAAGTTAAGTAGTGCTAACAGAGCAGAAACCTGAAATGTTTAGTAGAGATTAGCATAAATACACCGTTATATTTATATGAACTTTGTTTCAGTACTCTGTAGAAGAATGAATTAATTATACAAGTAAGTTTATCTATATTTCTGGACTTGTTTGAAACTGACAATGAATAGCCTACAAAATACTTATCTTTATATATTGATAAGAGTACTGGAAAAAATAACCTAATATTAGCAAAACACTAATTTTTATTGCAATGAATCAAAACACTCCCTGATTTTTTCACACAATTGGGACTAGGTTTTTGTCAATTTACTAAAGAAAGTAATATGTAAACAAGTCATTTATAAGAGTACTCTGTATCATTTTGACTATTCAAAAAAGCCTTGAAATTTTTCTTCACAATATATCATGACTTCTGACATACCACATTCATTTGTACTAAAGTACACGTAGATCGAAACACAAGTCATATGATTTAAAAACAAATCACTATGTCTGCTCATTCATGTTTTTCAAAGTTTTTGTTTGTTCTTTTTTATAACACACCATAATTTTAATGTTACTGTGGACATTCAGTTCTTTGAAGAAAACAACATTACTAAAACTTAAACTTTGCTTGTTTATAATTTATTTATTGTTTTACAAAAATGCAGAAATTATATATCTTCTGTATTTCTCATTAAATATATAAATATGAGTAAAAGTGAGTCTTGAACAGTTTCTTCTGTATTGATTCTTTGTTCCTCCACATCACTCCCTTGAATATGAACTTGAAAAAGAATTCCTCAGTGTCTCTTGTCTAGATATTTTGAAATAGCCATACTAACACTGCACTGTAGCCATGTTGATCAACAATTTGCGGTACAGTTGATCTGCTTTGTTATTAGCATTTTTAAACATTGATAAAAAAACAACAGACCAATCACTTTTAAGAAAATTTAATTTTGCACATTTCCTCTTTGTAAACATAGAAAGACCAAGTTAAAAATGCTTGGGCCAGGAATGTGTAGTGAATTCAGTTTTTGCACGTGATCTGTGTTGGTTCATTCAAAAGACAATCACTCACAGTTAACATACCATGTTTTATAACCATTTAGGATGCAGGAAAGGAAAATAGCTTGGATTAGAAAATATTCATATCTGTCTGGACATGCAGAGCAGATTTGCAATTAAATTGCCTTATGTTTTACCTGAGGATGTATAGAATTAAAAAAATCAACAACTGAAGGAAAGTTTTATCAGAATCTATTGCACTTCTTAAACAATTTATTAAAACATTGAAGATAAAGTATACGAACCAAAGAGTTACTTAACCTAAGGTCCATTATGTTCCACCTGGTGCTCAAGAAATACGAAATGCTTAGTTAAGCTACTGATGTATCTTGAAAGATTACTTTAAAAGTAGGGTTTAATTACTTGACAAAAACTAATGAATGTGATAATTGTCTATTTTACATACAGTAAATCGTTATATCACTCTAAACTGATAAAATCTGATAGTTGCAATTTTAAGTAATTTGTAACTGTTTATTTTTAAAATATGACTTACATTATCATTTTATTTCTGCAGTAGTGATTAAAGAACTGAAAAATTCTTTATTAGTTATTTGTTGAAAGCATGTTTAATGTTTGTAAATATGTGTTTCTAATATAATGTTTTTATTCCACTTCTCCAGATATCAGCATGTCAGTAGAACGTCACCATGGGATGTGTGTCATCTAGGGCAAGTCTAGATGACAGAAGAGACATATTTAGTGTAAGTTTTGATACTTGTGTTTAATTTTTGTTTGTTCTGCTTTTTGCTAGACAATCTAAGATCTAGGGTACCAGAATATGTGGACAGTAATCTTCTCAGTGATTTTATTTTGCAATTATTACATTTTGATTCTTTAACTCCAAACCCGCTTTTATTTTTTTACGTTAGGACAGTTATTTATTGATTTGGTTTTATAACTAATTTGCCCATTTTTCTTGTTGACCCATTATTATCTAAATTTAAAACCGTTTCGTGTGAGGATAAAGTGTAAAGATTAAATTCAATAAGTAGAATATGTGATAAGTGTAAATGCAGAATACCTGTAGACATATTAAAGTGTGTAATATGAAACTTCTACTTGTAATTCAGTAGAAAATCATGTTCTAAAAAGTTATAAGCTCAAGCCTTCAGGAATGTTAAAACACATATTATACAGACAGTGGAAAATATAGGATCCTAATGGTATGAAAGGTGTAAGAAAGTAAATTAGAAATACTTTGAACAATTCAATGATGACATCTTGTGCAATAAATTTTAAAATAAAAAACAAAATCAACGTTTAATATGCACAATAAAATATTTTTATTTGACTGACAGCCAACAATAAAAGACAACATGTTTTGGTAGCTTTACACTATCACCATCAGGAGTAAATACCTATATGACAAAAGAGTAGTTTATAAGGAAAAGGCTTAACTCATTGTAATCTGTGAGGGTGATATGAGTATTATACATAAGAATAAAAATTTCTTTTCAAAACTGCATTATCATCAACTAACCATTTTACAGCACAATATTTTTACTGATTCTATAATATTTAATTCACTTTGAGTATTAGGTTCAGCTAAAATTATTGTTTCATACCATTTTAAATTAACCTAATACTCAAAGTGAATTGAATATTAAAGAATCAATAGAAATTTTGTGCTGTAAAATAAATAGTTCTTTACTAAATGGAGAGGAAAGGTTAGTTGGTGATAATGTGTAGCTTTGGAAAGAAATATTTATTGTTATTTACAGTAATGATACCACCCTCATAGATTAAACCTTTTCTTTATAAAACTACCCACTTATCGTGTAAATTTTTACTCCTGATGATGATAGTGTAAAGCTACTGAAACGTTGTCTTTTATTGTTGGCTGTCAGCCCAAAAAAAAAAAAATTATTGTACACTTTAAATGTTGCTTTTTTTTTAGAAATTCTTTGCAGGTCAAAGAGCTAAACTTCTGTTACAGTCTCTCGTGAACAACCACATATTTTTGTGAATACCGATATTAATTACAACATATATGTAACAAACTAGAACCAACTGAGAACTGTTTGAAGTGAAACATCTATTAATCCAGTATTATTTTCAAAAAGTATTAATGGTCCAAATAGTATAATTCTTGGTCTGATACCATCAGTGTCAGACTTATCCCAGTCAATTAAAGCCATCTTAATAGCTTATATGTGTAAGTAGATGAAATTTCAAAAACAAGTTGTGAACTTTCATTTAATTTCTCACTTTTTCTGCGATAAAGTATTCTTAAATTAAAATTTCTGATAAATACATTGTGTCTGAAAAATGCAATTCTTTCAGTCTTTAGCTTATAGTGTGCACTAAGTTCCTTGTTGCTTAGTTTAACTGCCAGATTTTAGATAATTGAATTATTAAAAATTATAGTGTACATCATAGACATAAAAAGAAATTTTCCTTTAACTTAGCGAAAAGGATCATTCAAATTGTGAATAATAACTATAAATGCGAATTCAGATTCTATTAATTACAATATTTTCCTTGAGACAGGAATTATCCAGATGGTCTCATAAATAACAGTTTTTTTAAACAAAAACATTTAGCTCTTGAAATCAGAAATCACAAAATATGAAACCCATTACCATGACTTACATGTATAGTTCTATAGTTGTTAGTATCGGTCCTAACATTTGAAGAATGTTTTCAGCAAGTTCAAAATAATACCAGCTCACAGATAACCTAAACACTGAAAATTGATTTTATGTTACAATAATAATCCTTTCATAAATAAGATAGATATTGTGGACATGGTCAAATGTTTGTATAAAGATGTCAGCAGTGTGGTGTAAATTATATTCAGAATACTGAATTCATTACATATAAGAATAGATCAGTTACTTTTGATATTACTAGAACTTTCAGTTTTAATTCTCATAATGGTATTTATGATTTAACCAGCTTTATTATAGCTAAGCTTAAAATTGTAGACAGAAAACACATCAACATAACCATAATATAAGAAACTATGAAACAGTTCAATTCCTCATTTGAAACCTGTCATTGATTTACAGTGCTTTGACATGAAAAAATATTTTTTACATCATTAAAAATGTTTATTATAAATTTACAATCATACTGATGTAATAAATAAATAAATATATATATATATATATATATATATATATATA